CCAATGAGTCTTCTATATTCAGTAGCATCAACAGGTTGTGCATTATCATCATTACATGTCAGTTTTATATTGGAATCCATAGGTGTTGCTGCAGGTTTGCTACCCAAGTAGCCAGTATCATGTAATATATCTAATGCATACTTTCTTTGACAAATGTTAATGCCTGTGGATGATTGTGCAATCTCAAGGCCTAGAATATATTTCAGAGTTCCCAGGTCTTTTATAGTAAAACATTGATCCAAATGAGTTTTGATAGCATGTATATCATTGAGATTATTGCCAGCTAGGATTATATCATCCACATACACTAACAGTGCAAGGAAAGAAGTATCAGATTTCTTAATGAAAAGAGAGCAATCAGAGACAGATTGGGTGAAGCCATAATCAAGAAGACAATGTGTTAATTTTTGAAACCATTGCCTTGAAGCTTGTTTTAAGCCATAAAGGCTTTTGGTTAGTTTGCAAACTCTATTATCATTAGGGAGATAGCCAGGGGGTGCCACCATATAAACTTCTTCATCAAGATCCCCATGTAAGAAGGCATTATTGACATCTAATTGATGTAAATGCCAATTATGTATGGATGCTAATGCAATGAGTAGTCTAACAGTTGTGATCTTAGCAACAGGGCTAAAGGTATCAAAGTAATCAATTCCTTCTTCTTGTGTATAACCCTTAGCCACTAATCTAGCCTTATACCTCTCTATTGAGCCATCTGCTTTATATTTAATTTAAAAAACCCATTTACATCCTATAGCATTTTTGCCTTTGGGTAATTCTGTTAAAAACCAAGTATTTGTGTTTTCTAAAGCAGTGCTCTCTTTATTCATAGCATCCTGCCATAGAGGATCAGAAGAGGCCTGTTTATAAGTTTTAGGCTCCACATTGACAGTGATGGATGAAGTAAAACAGACATGATTGTGGCATAGGTTATTAGTAGTAGAAATGATTCAATAGGATATAATGATGATGTTCCAGAAATGTGTTGAGACTGATCACATGTGACTGAGTTGGAGTTTGTTTTGAGTTGATGTTGGTATGCTTTGAGGTATGCTGGAGGTAGTCTGTTTCTGGTTGATCTTCTTGGAGGTGTTGATGTATTGATTGGAGATGGTGGTGATATATTGATTTGTGGTGATGATGGTGGTATATTGACTGGAGAGGGTGGGGAGATGTTGTTATTTTGGGTTGGTTGCTCAGAATTTGCTGGATTTTGAGTATTGGGTTGGCTAATGTAGGGATCATGAGTAAAAGGGGTTGGTTCAGAGAACAAAGGTATATGAGCTGTGTCATTGATTTGGGTTTTGAAAGGGAAATCAGTCTCATAAAAGATCACATTTCTAGAGATTAATGTCTTATTGGTATCCAAGTTATAAAGCTTATATCCTTTATAACCTAAGGGATACCCAAGAAATATGCACTTTGAAGCCCTTTGATCAAATTTAGTTCTATGTGATTGCAATGTAGATGCATAACATAAACAGCCAACAGTTCTGAGATGATCAATAGATGCAGGAATGCCATATAATGCTTCATATGGTGATTTATTATTCAGAACATGAGTTGAGATTCTATTGATGATATGTACTGCAGCTAAAATGCAATCCATCCAAAAATAAACAGGTAGATGTGCATGAAATAGAAAGGCCCTGGCAACTTGAAGTATATGTTGATGTTTCCTTTCTACCCTTGCATTTTGTTGGGGAGTTTCCACACAGCTAGTTTGATGTAAAATACCAGTTTCTTTAAAAAAATCATGCATGAGGAACTCTGTTCCATTGTCAGATCTTAGAGTTTTTATAGTCTTGTTGAACTGAGTGTTAACAAGTTTATAAAAATGTTTGATGCTGGAAATAGTATCTGACTTGTTTACTAGTGGGTAAACCCAAGTAACTCTAGTATTATCATCTACAATTGTTAAAAAATATCTATGTCCAGCATATGAAGGAATAGAAAATGGTCCCCAAAGATCACAATGCATAAGTTCAAAAGGAGATGATGCAATAGACTGACTTATATTGAAGGGTAATCTTTTTTGTCTGGAAAAATGGCAAACATCACAAGGAACAGTGTTCTGTTTACAATGTTTGATTGGTAAATTCAGAAGATACAGTTTATTGAAAGAAAGATGACCAAGTCTAGAGTGCCAAACAGTAGAAGATACATCAGATTTGCAGCTAATCAGTCATGCTGTGTGAAACAGGAAGTAGTACACTTTTGGATGTATGAACAGGAAATGAAATAGGATTGTTGGGGTCAAAGTGGTATAATCCAGCTTTGGCCTTAGCAGAACCAATCAGAGTCAGAGATGTCATGTCCTGCATGATGCAGTGTGATGCCAAAAATTTCACTGTACAATTATTTGTATGACACAATTTGGAGACTGAAATCAAATTGTATTTAAAGAAAGGGACATATAAAGCATGCTTTAAGATAAGACATGAAGAAAAAGCAATGTCACCCATATGAGAAGCTGTAGTGGTATTTCCATTAGGCAAGTTAACAGTAATAGACACATTTTGCACATTAGATGTAAAAAGAGAATGATCACATATCATATGGTCTGAACCACCAGTATCCAAAATCCAGAGATAACTAGGTCTATTAGTGTTAACTGAACATGAGAGATAATTAGGGTTACCTGCCATAGCATTGGGTTGAGTGGTGCAAACATTTGCAGTGACAGCTTTAGATGTCTCCAAAGAATTGTTGGAAGAATTAGACTGCTCATATGATCTTTTAAATGCTAAGAAGTCAGAAAAGAGTTGATCAGTCATGTTAACATCAGTAGAAATAGGAGCATCACTGTTTGATGTAGTAACATTGTGAGCAGAATGTCTTGTGTTGATTCTAGGACCACGAGGTCCTTCCCAATTCTGAGGGTAGCCAATAATTTGGTAGCATCTGTCAGTTGTATGGCCCATGTAACCACAATGTCCACATTTTGGTCGAGGTTTGGAGGGATCTCTTGGTGGATTTTTATTGTCAGTTGGTTTAGGTTTGTAGAATTTTGGAGGGTAAGAAGTTTTGGCTGCCATGGCTAGTGTATCAGAAGGTTTAGGGGTAATGTGAAGGGCTCGTTGGCTTTCTTCTTGCAGTAAGAGAGAGTATACTTTGTTTAACGAGGGTAAAGGAGTTGAAAGTAGGAAATGAGATCTGAGAGCTGAGTATGATTCATTCAGGCCAATGAGAAACTTGATGACAGAATCAGATTGTTGAGATAGGGACATTGAGTCAAAAATATTACAAGTACAAGAACTCATAGCACCACAAGTACAACGGATAACAGGTCTGTAGGTAAGGTACTCATCCCATAAGGCTTTAAACGAGTTATAGTACTGAGTGATAGTCATTGAGCCTTGATCCATCGTGCTTAGAGATTTTTCGATTTGAAATACACGAGGACCACTGCTCAATGCATATCGAGCCTTCAATTCATCCCAAACATCTTTGGCATTGGAAAAAAATAAGAGCGACTGTCTGATATCTTTGGAAATTGAGTTTAATAACCATGACAGTACGAGATTATTGGCTCGAGTCCATGCCAAAAAATCCACAGCGTTAGTATGAGAGGGGATAGGAACAGTACCATTGAGGAGACCGATTTTGTTCTTGACACTTAACGCCATAAAGACCGCACGAGACCAGGAGACGTAGTTAGTGCCGTCAAATACTTCAGCAACAATGACTGCGCCCGGATTGTCGCTGGGATGAAGAAAATAGGGCGACAAAGGATCGTCGGTGCGGTCCCACCAGATGAAGTGCACCATAAGAGGGTGAGCCTAGTAGCACCGTAGTGAGGTTCCATCCCAAAATCAATTGGTGATGGGAGGAGTAGCCCACTAGACTTATATACTAGACTCATTTTCCCTATAGAATCAATGTGGGACAACTCACAAGTGATATTCCAACACGCCCCCTCACTTGTGAGTCCTTCGTAAGCCCAAGCCCACATAGCAGGCCGGGTAGAGAAATAAGCCCAAGCCCAGAGCAGGCCGGGTAGAGAGAGTCATCGCAGGTCCTAGGACAGGCCCGCTCTGATACCATGAAAGAGTATTTGCAACACTTCATAGAAAGAGAAGAAAAGAATCTAGGGTTTTTGTATTAGAGAAAATGAACCGACGGGTTGTACAAGTGTGGTGAGACCCTTATTTATAGTTGGGGTCAACTATGTAAATGTTACATAACTTGAGGACATAAATGTAAAGATATAAAAACCTATACATATTCTATTAACTTCAATGAAGAACACGGATGAGTGAACAAACCAAAATCATTAGTTTATAATACAAGTTTGCAAACAAAATTCACAGAACGTCGTTGGTCTTCAAATATCGAATATTTCTTGTAAAAATAAATATCGTTTGAAGAAGATTTCTTCAATATTTTTGAGCAGTGCAAAGAAGTTTGAGTTAGCTAATTTGAAATGCAATATATGAATATCTGGTGATTTATTTGAGATATATCATTATGTCTAGACTTCAAGTTAATAAGAGAATAATTAAACACATGTTAAGTAAATTAATAAAAAAATTTGCAATATTATTTCCTTAAATTTTTTAATTACTGGCATTATAGTATTTACATATAGCAGCTTTTAATTTTTTATTTAACTAATTGTGAAATTAATAGACACATGGCACCATTTGAAGGGTATATGTTGTTATGTATATAACAGAGGTATTGATGGTAGAACGATCCTACTTGGTATACTATAGAAATTAAATATGAGTATAATATTATTATCATCTCATTATCACTATACTATTAAACATCATTTTTTTTACAATTTTATTTTGTATTTATGCTATTGTTATAAATATGTCTTTTAAAAAGTAATACAATATTTGTGAATGTATATAATTATTTATAAATAATTTCTGATTATATATAAAATATATATGAATAAATTTAAAAAATAAGTAACTTATTTAATTACTTATAGATACATTTTTGTATAAAATATATTTTTATAAATTACTTATGTATCTAATCAAAATATGAATGGTAAATAAAAACATAGTTAGTAATTAATTAGTTTAAGATGTTTTATTTTTAAATAAATAATTTTCAAACATAATAGAATCTAATTTATATTACATTTTATTTATTTATTATAGAGAAGGTGGAATGACCACAGTCCCGTTGATGGAATGATTCCGTCAGTGTTTGTTACCGTAGATTAACTATACTATATAATCTATATGTGAATCAAACGATAACAAACACTGATGGAACCATCATGTAACGGGATTGTAGTTATCCCGGAAGAAGGTTTGTGCCTTTTTATATACATTACCAGAAAATATAATAATTAGCAACCCAACGAAATCAATGTCAATTATTTGTCTTTACACAATTTTATCTGTTACCAAAACTAAACTGATTCTGNTTCTGTCACGTTATGATTTACACGCATCCTCAATCACATTAATATATATATATATATACATCTACTATAATCAAGTGTAGTGTATACATGTATATATATACATGAAATAAACTCAGCATAAATATAAACTAAACTAGACATATGCACTGCGACTTAATATCATACCACACAAAGAAACTATACATAATCATGGAATAAACTATACATATGCACTGGGACTTGAAAACACTAATTACATTTAAATGATAAAAAATCAACATATACTCAGAATAAATATAAACTAAACTAGATTAACAAATATATACTCAACATATATTCAACATATTGGAAAGGATAAATTCACTTTTGGTCCTCCATGTTTAGGGGATATCCAGACTGAGTCCCTATTATGTTTTGGTGCCCAATTTTAGTCCTTAAAACAAAAAAAATGAGTCCCTATTATGTTTTGGTGCCCAATTTTAGTCCTTAAAACAAAAAAAATGAGTCCCTATTATATTTTGGTGCCCAATTTTAGTCCTTAAAACAAAAAAATGAGTCTCTATTATGTTTTGGTGCCCAATTTTAGTCCATAAAATAAAAAAATGTAGTCCCTTTACCTCAATTTCTGTGAATTAACGGTCCATTTTGCTCGACTGTGATATTCTTTATTTTTGTTAAAATTTGTTGATTAATGTCAACTTTGACCAAAGAAAAATAAAAAAAAAAATTTAAATGCTGAAAATATATTAATAAAAAATTAAACTAAAACAAGAAATTGCACTAAATTAAATTAAAATTTTTGCTCGTCTGATTTCTATTTCCCTAGCATTCGCGCTGCGGAGCAAGCCTGGAATCACAGCTAATGCTCTTGCACCCATTTCCAGGTCATGCCATCGAAAAAAATTGCACTTATCAACCCTATGTTTTTTAACCATTTCTTATCATATTTCAATTGAAGTTCACGGAAAGTACTTACAGAATATAGAGGGCAACTCAAGAATCTTCTACCGAGATTATTATCCTTCCAGCATATAGTCAAGTTTGCAACCAGCTCACATCTACAAACCATTTTCATCCATTTGATCGGATTTAGTCCCTAGGCGATTAGGCATTTAAATTTTCTTTTATTTTTCTTTGGTCAAAGTTGACATTAGTCAACAAATTTTAAAAAAATAAAGAACATAACGGTCGAGCAAAAATGGACCGTTAATTCACATAAATTGAGGTAAAGGGACTACATTTTTTTTTAAGGACTAAAATTGGGCATCAAAACATAATAGGGATTAAGTCTGAATACCCTAAACATGGAGGACTAAAAGTGGATTTTTCTCAATTATAGGGACTACATTTTTTTGTTTTAAGGACTAAAATTGGGCACTAAAACATAATAGGGACTCAGTCTGGATACCCCCTAAACATGGAGGACCAAAAGTGGACCTTCCCCTATTGGAAAAACTCTCCCCTTTGGAGTTCTGAGTTCCATCTATTGGATCGTCTTTAGGGTTTCACGTTTTAGTATGATTTTAGATCTTTGTTTTCTTCATTTCACTGAGTGTTGGTTAGATTGATTAGGGTTATGTTCTCCTTTCTTTTTTTTTCGTACGGGGTTTTAGGGTTCGGCTTTTCTTTCTCTTTTTTTCTTCAATTGGGGTTTCTGTAGATTTTAGGCCTTTGCTATGTTTGATTATGCCATGTTCTGATTTACCTTCCTGCTACTGTGATGTGCTATTAGATACCCAGATCCATCCGATTTCATCATCTTCGTTTTCCTTTTTGCACTTCATCTACACCATACTTGTTTCTGTTTGCTTGCTTTTCTGACCGTATTGCAGGTATCATTTACCCTAGGCAGTAGCAAGGTTCCAATACCATTGAAGCTTGGGTGGTGAGATGTAGTATTGTTGACAATCATGGAAGAAGATCTAACCGATAAACTAGCTAGGTTTTGCTTGTCAGAAAGGGAAGAACACGGTATTGAATTAGAAGCAGTCGATGTGGCCCCAGGTCTAAAAGAATGCCAACTCAGTCTTTTAGGGAAAATTCATGGAGACAAAAAGGCAAGCTTTAGTGGGTTGCCAGCTACCCTGACTAGTATCTGGAATACAAGGAAACCGTTCACTATTCGGAATCTGGGGGGGAATATGTTCCAATTTATGTTTCAATTAGCTGAGGACCGAGACAAGATCTACAATGGGAAAACCTGGTCATTCGATGGCCAGTACATTCTTCTTAAGCATTGGTGCCCAGGAAAGGCGGAATTTTCAGAGGAGGAGAAATTCATCAAAATTTGGGTCCAAATCCACAATCTTCCACTTCATTGGATCACTTTAGAAACTGGGCTAATGATAGGGAACCTTCTGGGCAAAGTCATTGATGTTCAAATACCAAATCAAGGAGGGTTATATGGCCAAATGATTAAGGTTCTGGTAGAATTGCCCATAAAGGATCCACTTCTCAGGGGGACACACATCAAATAAGGTTCTGACAATAGGAGGGTTGAATTCAGGTATGAATATCTCCAAAACTTCTGTTTTTACTATGGTTTAATAGGTCACTCTGATAAGAATTGTGCTGTTAAACATGATGATATTGAAAGAAATGTTATTAACATGGGCCAATATGGTGAATGGCTGAGAACCTATGGGTCTAGTTTTGCTGATTCTAGAAATAATAGTAGCCATCAAAGTGGAGGTAAAACCAGTGAAAAAGAGCCTGAGAATGTTAGCACTCCATCCTTGGGGAAGCAGGTCATTATGAGTAGAGAGAGGGAGAGTATAGGTACTGGGAGTAGGGCTAAAGTGAGGGAAATGCCTAGTTGTTCTAAGGGAGGTGAGATCAGTGATAGTGATCATGTTGATCTGATTAGAGAGCTAATAGTAGAGCAGGCAGAAGAATGGGTTGAGAGGGGCACAGTGGAAGGTTGTATACAACCTATCACTATTGACAACTCACAACTTGTGGATATCAAAATCCAAAACTCTGCCACTAGTTCTAAGACATCACAAAGAAAAAAGTCCTCCTTTGTGAGAAAACCTAGAGGCAAAACTTCAGGGTTAGAGGATAAAATGAGTGTGGATGTGGTAGAGGATAATACCTCTATTAAAATTGGAAAGGCAGGAATAAAAGACCCTCTTCCAGAATTGGAGATAAACCAGAGTCTGTGATTAGTGAGATTGAAGGGAAAAAGATTAAAATGTCTGAGGAATCAAACACTGAAAGGGTGGAGGAGACCAGCCACAAATGGTCCCCAAGTGGCCAATGAAGGCCATGGTGTGGAATTGTAGAGGTCTGGGTGGACCCTCTACAATTTCTCAATTGCGAGAGGCTCTTAGGGCTCACCTCCCGGATTTTGCTTTTTTATCTGAAAAAAATAAAAGAAAAAAAAATTGTCATTACTGTTTGCAAAAAGCTTAGGTTAGGGGATAGATGGAAGTATGTTAATCCCATAGGTACTAGGGGTGGCATGCTCTCTGTTGGTCTAGTAGTATTAACATTATCACTATCATTGAGTCTGACTTCTGTTTAGAGGTCAATTTCAAATGGAAGAATGCCACTGAGAATTATTGGGTTGTTTTCATTTATGCCAGTACTAATCCCAATGAAAGACTCTATCAGTGGAGTGTTCTTCTCAGACATAGCTTGAATTGGGGTAGGATGTGGTTCATGGGAGGTGACTTTAATGACATTTTGTCTCATCAAGAGAAGAGAGGGGGTATTAGAAGGGATGAGGCTAGTTTTGCTAATTTTAGGAATCTGGTTAGTGGCATTGGGGGNNNNCCTATTGCCCTTGGGCACCAATTCACTTGGCTAACAACAGGAAAGGTAGTGGCTTTGTTGAGGAGAAACAAGATAGATTTCTACTCTCTCCTGACTGGGCACTAAAATTCCATAAATCCTAGGTTTCTAACATTTCTTTAATTTCATCAGACCACAGTATTGTAGTTTTGAAGAATTTTGATGCCTGTAATCCATCTAAAACCAGAAAGAAGTTTATGTTTGATGTCAGGTGGATCAAGAAGGAGGGTTTTTTTATTGTGGTGGATCAAGTTTGGAATAAGGCAGTCAGTGGACCTACTCTTTTCAGTATTCAGAAAAGAATTCAGAGAGTTAGACTTGCCTTAATCAAATGGAGCAAGAAGACTAGCAGCAACTCAGGGTTGCAAATTGTAAAGCTCAAAACTAGATTGGAGGGGCTTGAGGCTGAAGGAGGCAACAAAGACTGGAATGATTGGAAAAACTGCAGAAATTTGCTGAGCATGGCATACAAAGAGGAAGAAGTGTATTGGAAACAAAAGTCCAGAGTCACTTGGCTCAGAGAGGGTGACAACAATTCGAAATTCTTCCAAGCCTCAGTCAAATAGAGGAGAAAAGTCAATTCACTTGAAGGACTGCTGAAAATAGATGGTAGCAGGTATGAGAATAGTGATGAGATAGTCAAGGAATTGGAGAGTTATTATGCTGGGATTTTCAAAACATCCAACCCTACTGAACAGAAATGTAACCTAGATAGGATGGCTTTATCAATCACTGAGGATATGAATGAGCGATTAATTAGGCCAGTGGAGGAGGAGGAAATACATGCAGCATTAATGGGGATGGAACAGTGCAAAGCTCCTGGGGTAGATGGCCTAACTGCAATCTTTTATCAAAAAGCCTGGTCAGTCATTAAATTCCACTTTTGTCTTGCTGTTAAAAACTTTTTCACTTGTTGTAGGATGCCCAAAAATGTTAATCATACAGTCCTTACTCTCATTTTAAAAACCCTAACCCTACTTGTGTTGGTGATTTCAGACTAATCAGTCTATGTTCTGTCATGTACAAAGTCATTGCCAAGATTGTAGCCAACAGACTTAAAATTGTGTTATCCAGCTGCATTTCTCCTTATCAAGATGCTTTCATTGCTGATAGACAGATCACAGATAATGTAGTCATTGCTAATGAATGCGTTCACTTCTTAAATGGCAAAAGGAAAGGTAAACAACATTTCATGGCTATAACATTGGACATGGCTAAGGCCTATGACCGGGTTGAATGGTCTTTTTTGGCTAGGGTTTGTAGGAACTAAGTTTTTGTTTTAAATTTATTGAATGGTTCCTTGCTTGTGTTTGCACTACTTCTTTCTCTTTTAGTGTCAATGGAGAACCTCTGGGCTTTGTCAATCCTACTAGGGGATAAAGGCAAGGGGACCCTCTGTCCCCTTACCTTTTTCTTCTTGTTTCTGAGGCTCTATCCAATCTGATATTCCAGGCTAGGGTTAAGGGGGATTTTAAGGGTATTAAAATAGGTAGGAAAACCTCAATCATTTCCCATCTCTTTTTTGTGATGATTCCATCTTTTTTTGTAAGGCCAATAGAGATCATGCTCTGCAAGTATTGAAAATTTTGAGTGATTATGGGAATGATTCAGGCCAGTTAGTTAATCTAGTAAATCTTCTATCTTTTTTTCTCAAAATACCCCCAGTTCGAAGGAGAGTGAGATTTGTAGTATTTTAAATGGCATCTATAAAGTCAACTCTCTAGATATCTAGGGCTGCCTTTGAGGATTGGAAAAACAAAGAGAGATATATTTCAGTTTTTAAATGAAAGAGTGGAAAAAAAGTTGAGAGTTGGAAGAATGTGTTCTTAAGTGAAGCTGGTAAAGATACACTCATAAAATCAGTCCTTGGTGCTATAGCAGTTTATGACATGTCTTGTTATAAAGTGCCAGTTGCAGTGTTGAATAAGATGTGCAGGACTATTGCTTCTTTCTGGTGGGGACAAAACGAAAATGGGGGACAGAGAAAACATTTTGCAGCCTGGGATAAACTTGCTAAACCAAAACAATGGGAGGTCTAGGGTTCAGAGATCTCAAAGCTTTCAATGAGGCTATGCTGGTAAAGCGGATATGGAGAACTATTACCAAACCCAATCTTTTGGTCAGTAGAATACTCAAAGGGAAGTATTTTTGGGGAAAGAGGCTTATGGAGGTGCAGGTGAAAGCTGGAGATTCATGGATGTGGAGATGATGGATAGGCACCCTAAATGCATTGAAACTTTGAGCTGGATTTTGTGTTGGGAATGGAGAATCAAATCTTATATAGGAGACACCATGGGTACCAAATATCCCATCCTTTACTCCTATATGTCAATTCTTTAGTGACAAGGGAAGATTTACCAGGGTTTGTGATCTCTTTCTGGAAGGGAAAAGAGAATGGGAGAAGGAATGTATTCTTCAAACCTTCTCTGCAGAAACAGCTAAGAGCATCATACAAATCCCATTGAGACAGAGACCAGAGAGTGACAAATTAATTTGGCATTGGGATAAAAAGGGAAATTCACAGTCAAGGGAGCCTACAATATCATTCTCAGTTCCACATATAGGGCCACAACTGGAGAGCCTAGTTCTACTTCCAATGACAAGGCACTCAGGAAAATGTGAAAACAAACATGGGACCTCAAAGTGCAAAATAAGATAAAAGACTTCCTTTAGAGAGTCTGGTTTGGATATGTGGGTGCTAAGGTGAGACTGATTCAGAAAGGCATTGATTTTGATGGAATATGTGAAAGCTGTGAAGAAGAGATGGAATATATGGACCATGTGCTGTTAAATTGCAGGAGAGCACAGATTTGCTGGAAACTCAGTGGACTACAGTGGCAATGGACATCAGGACAGAAGAACCATTTTCAAAACTGGTGGTTCACATTGTGCACTGGCAAGAAAGGGGAGTGTTGGATGGAGAGATTGAGCCTATCTGTATACCTTTTATGGTGGCTCTGGAAAACAAGAAACATTTGGGTTTTCAGGAAGAAAAGGTTCTCTGAGAAGGAGTTAGTGGATAGGGAAAAACTTGATTGGGGTGAATTCATTTCTGTTGTGGTTGATAAGGAGGAGATGCATTTTGATAGCTCCGTAGACAGATTGGTGGGTAGAGTAGGTCAGCTTATATTTGTTGTCAGTGCTCATTTTTTGGCTTCTGGTAAAACAGGATTGGGTTGATTCTTCAAAGGGATGATACCACTTTAAAATCCTGGACTTTAACATAGGGTGCAGTCACAAGTGAAGAAGAAGCTGAGCTGACAGGTATTAGATGGGGCTTGGAACTGGCAATGCTTCATGGATGCAAATCATTTGAAGTTTGCATGGGGAACAACAGATTAATCCATAAGCTGCTATCCAAAGACCCATTTGATCCTCAAGTTCAAGGAATTGTTGATGACATCTGGCTTATTGCTTCTCATTTGGTTGTCTGCACTTTTCTTGTTAATTCAAATTTATCTAAAAACAGTAATATATTGGCTAGTTTGGCTGTGCAAGGGGAGGATGATGTAATGCCTTCCCTGTGAGTGTCTTGCTCTAAAATTTTCTTTGTTTGGAGTTTGCACTTTTCCCCTATGTAGGGGGTCGTCTGTACCGAATGGTTATTGAGTAATTAATATTATTACTTTTCGTTTGAAAAAAATAAATTAACAAATATATACTCAACATATATTCAACATATACTCAACATAAATATACTTAGCATAAAAATTCAACATATACTCAACATATCTTCAACATATACAAAGCATAAATATAAACTATACATATGCACTGGGACCTAATAGCATACCACACAAATTGTCTATGTGATTATTTACTAGTGGCCAATTTACACGCATCCTCTATGATTAACAAATAATTACAAATTTGTCATGTGATTGAAGTGATGTATTAATCATGTTAGAAACCAAAAACAAAATACATGTGGCAAACATTGGAAAACATGAACTGTTATTCAATTCTGCAGGAACATAAATATAAAACATACATACAAAATGAACTGAAAATATAATGATTCTTAATTTATACCACACAACAAACATAAAAAAAGGGTCAGTTTGACCAAAATCATAAATGAATTTTATAAAGTAAAAAAGTATTCTTCAACAATTTTAAAGAATATTCAGTGAGACCGGATTAAAATTCAGTGCATATGTCTACTTTTTCGCCTGCTATGGGGGGTTTAGGTTTTGAGTGGGTTGTGGGTTTGTTCGTGGGAGAGATGAACATTGATAATGCATGGAGAAAATTGCAAATTTAATTCTAGAACTCTTGTTGTTTTCCACATTTGGTCCCGGGCATGTTAATTATGGTCTTTTTTTTATTTTCGTTGCCAAAATGGTCCCACGTCCGTCAAGATTGACGGGGCTCATGTGAGGACGTTAGATTGGACCAATTTTGCAATTTTTGGGACCAATTTTGCAATTTTTCAAAAAAAAAAAAAAATGAGTTCTTCAAGTTCTTCAAGTCTCTCTCATTCACTCAAAGCCGAAATGACACAATAAAATTAATTACTATGAATATGATGCGAGAGATAAATATTAAAAATAATTTTATAAAAATAAACATCGGGTGGAAAAGTAAGGGCTTTGATAAATTTTAATTTGGGGTGGAAAAGTAAACGATATAATTGCTAATTGAGTGGTATTTATTTTATTTTCTAATATTTTTACCGTCATTACTTAAAAATATTGGCAATTATTTGAATATTATTTAAATTAAAAAATAATTAGGAATAATATTATTTTAATTAAATAAATCAAACCAATAGACATAATCCAATTTATCAAAATAAGAAAAAATGTGAGTATGCTTACAATAATACTAATCCGTCTACACTTTTAAATATTAGTATAATGTGATAATTTATATATATCCTTACAAACTTTATAGAATAATACGAATTAAAAAAACCCAATCTAAACTATTTTTTTTATTACTGTCTATTTTTATTTTAATAATTTTTTATTTATTAATCTGATTTTGACAACTATAAATTGAAAATTCTATTAATTTATGCAAATTACATCTACATAAAAAAATTTCAATTTTAAGCATAATAAACAAAATTTGGCATTAAATTAAGTGAAAATAGACATTTACTCCCATTTATTTATAGTAAAATATAGCATATATATTTTTTTTAATCTCATTTATCATGAACTAATTAATAAAATTATTTTATACACCTTTTGTTAAGTTACCTAATTAAATAATAATTTTATGTAAAAGAATCAAGTTAAACTTTAATTTACAATTAAAAAAAATGTGAAAGGATTGTATGTTAGTTATATGTATCTTTTATAATTTATTAAAAAATAAACTAAATGTATTGTTAGAAAAGAATGGTAATATACCTTTTTAATATTTACTAAAAACTTTTTAAAAAAATGTTTCTAATATAAATAAATTTAAATAATTTTTATCACTTACTATTTGAGAAAATTGCAAATTTGGTCCTAAAACTTTTGTTGTTTCCCACATTTGGTCCCAGACTATAAACGTTGACCGTTAAGTCTTGACGGAGTGGGACCATTTTGGCAACGAAAATTCAGATAGGACCATAATTGGCGTGTCTGTGACCAAATGTGGAAAACAATAAAAGTTCTGGGACCAAATTTGCAATTTTCTCATAATGCGTGGAAGGGGGGTTAGTTTTGATTTAATTTGATAACTTATGCTTGAAAATCTGTGTAAATTGAATATAATATGTCACACCCTGCCTTACTAGCTTTGAAAAATCAGAGTAAAATTTTCTCTTCTATTTTCGAAAGATCGTGTGAGCTTGGTTTTTCGAAAACACTAACTTGTTGCGGGATGGCACAGATAAGAACTTACTTATCTTGCTCACACACATAAATAAAACATGCAACCAAACTATCCGCTACGGATATGGAATCACACATGCAATGTCTGAACTGTCTCGCACAGTCTAAAGTCTGCTAGAGAAAGCATCCGAAATACAGAAGTACATAGAGTACATGCATACATATCTGAATGGATACATGATCATAAAATTAAGGACATAAAATGTGCATAAAAATGTCCTCGCTGTCATGACCACGCTTTGCCACGCATAGCTCACCCGGCACGCTCGACTCCGTCTCCTGAAAAACACAGTGGGTGCATGAGCAAACCACTATGCTCCGCAAAGACCAGTACTGAATAAGACATCATATATAATAACGTGTCATGAACATAAATATATAAGAGCTGAAACTGTAAACTTTTCTTTTCTTTCTTTACAGTGGTCAAAAGACCCTCGGCCCTCGGCCGCTCGTGTGCACAACCCGATCTGCGGGTACCAGGTAAAACTCGAAAGGCCCTTAGGTCGGCCAATCACCTGGGAGAACTAACGGTCTCAAACATACCTCTGCCATGGTACAGATATTATATATGATGTTGAATCCAGTACATGACCCCCACCTGATAACTGAACTGACACAAGTGTTGCAACTGGAGTAGCGGTCGGAGGCTCGACTCTCCTTAGGCTACATAAACATTTAAGCAAAATAATGCTAAGTATAATGCTCATAATATTTATTTATATGCTATGATGCTCGAATTTATCTAACGATAAGACTGGACTGGCTTGGCTCGGAAAAATACTAAAATTCTGAAAAGAGACTCGGATCAAAAGTCACGAATCAAAACGGACTCGAACCGCCGGTCGAACCGGCCGGTTCGCTGACTGGCCGGACCGCCGGATCGGAACCAAAACGGACTCGAATCGCCGGTCGAACCGGCCGGTTCGCTGACTGGCCGGACCGCCGGCACGGCTGAACCGGGCGTGGCGCTGGGCACTGCTGATGCGGCCGGGCTCGGTCATGGTGCTGCTGGGCACTAATGGCACGACCAAAGGCTGCTGGCATAGCCATGGCACGGCTGGTGCCTCTCGGGTGCACGTTGGGCATGGCCGAGACTCAACTGAGGCCCTGTCGTGCGGCTGGGCACGGACAGGTGCGGCTAGATGCGGGTTAGGCGCGGACAGAGGCCACACGGGCACTGTCGGGCATCCCCGAGGTCACTGGGCACTCGGGCATGCTGCTGGCCACGCACCAAGGCCTACGGGGCTCAACAGACCCGACTTGGGTCGGCACTGGGTATGGCACGCGCTGCTGGGCACTGTGCATGTGGCCTGGGCACGTTGGGTGTCGTTGCCACGCGAACTAGGGCTACTCGGGTTTACTCCACGTAGGGCAAGAGCAGCTGGCTCGAGACCGCGCGTGCATGGCGTGGACAGCGCTGTCGGGCGCTGTCGGAGGGTGTTGGGTGCTACTGGCACCAAGACCTCGCACGCGGGCGCGGACAGACGCTACTGGGCGCTGTCGCGTGCACTGAGGGCCGTTGTGCCTCGCACCGGTTGGGCGCCGGTACTGACAGTCACTAGGCCGGACACTGCCGCACATGCGCGGCCAGTGACCAAGGCCGGCCCTTGCTGGACCTCCGACGACTTTTTCCGTTGACATGCATAACATAACATCATGATATGATATAAAAAGCATATTTATCACATAAAATGCTAGAATGACTCGGATCATTTTGCATGTGGCTTGGGAGGGCCTATATGGCACCTACGAGCCCTAACTCATTGAACCAACTAAATAATTTAACACATATGATGATGGACGAATATTTAACATCCAAAATGATGACTATAAGAGCTAAGACTTGGGTCATAACTTGTATGCATTGAACTAAGGCTTGGGTGTCCAATTTAACACATTTTCATGAACAATATGGCCGAACAAACAAACTGACATGATAAATGAGGGTGATTTAGCTATACATTTCGACTTAGGCATGCTTGCTACTAAAATTTCATTTTTTAAGGCCATTTAATTTAAAAATTCGGAACTTAGGCTTAAACACATGAATGGCTTGATTTTTCTTCATGAAAAATCCTAAAATATCATAAAATAGCTATGGTTAAAAGATGGTTTGGGCTAACCTTCACCAAACGAGAGAAATGGCTTGCTAGGGCTTGAATGGGCTAGGTACGGCCTTGAGGGATTTGGACATGGTTTGATGGCTTTGGGATGGAAAGAATAAACTCCAATGACTTATAAAAATCCAAGAAAAGCTTGGAAAATGATAAGTCACGAGATAACTATCTTAGAACACGAAATGGCCGCTGCTCTCCTCCCTCGGGTCTTGCTCGCGCGCGGATGGCCAAGGTGGGGGCTCTCGGCCTTTGCTCCTCTTTCTCTCTATTTTGCTGAACTCTTTAAGTCTTAGGATGTTTAAATGTGCAAGAGCTATCACCAACTGAGATGGGTATGCTTATATAAGGATAGGGACGGAGCAAACAAGGAGGGGAGTGGGAGACATGGTCTTCCCCATGCGCATGGGTTTGGGGGTCATGAGGAGGCATCTTGCACGATTTTGCATGGTCAAATGTGGATTATTCAGAGTTCAAAAACTGAGGTAAGTGGTCTGGTCAAGGCATCCAAATAGTGGGGGACAAGGACAAACATGCTAGAATATAATAATGCAAGGCATATGCTCCATTTTGTTTAGGCACTAATTAACTTTCCTTAAATATTGCTTAGGACTAATGATGCTGAAATGACTCCTTAATCACCTGGTCATATTTGCATGGCATTGGGATTGGAGGAAATGGGCCAAAACCTCAAGTATTAGGCTCGGTTGGTTGGGCTGCCAAGGCTGGCGCGGGCCTGTTGGGCGCGGCAATGCGGGCTGGGCGCGAGAGGGCTGCTGGGCTTAGTGCTGCGCGTGCTGGGGGTCTTGGGCCGAGTATGAGGGATGGAGAAAGGGTCTCCACACTTAGAAAAATTTTAGGAATTTATGTTAAGGCTTGGCAAGACCTTGGGTGGCCTTAGGCGCGAGATGGCCGCGGCATGAGGCGTGGGTTCGGGGCTCGGCATGCACGGCTCAGGTAGGTGCTAGGGTTCGACTATGAAATGTCCAAGGCTTACTTTGATATTATTATACACTTAGAAAAATATTCTAAGTATCAAACATCAAGTCTCGGCTATACTCGGAATTTACTAGAAAAATGACTCGGAACAAACTAGGGTTCAAAGCCGAATAAATTCTCGAGTTGAATAGCTATAATTTAACAACCCAAATTAATGAATTGATCTTGACTTAAACTTGATATGGAATATCCTAAAGCATAATCTATTATTTTTGAGCATTTAGCATATAAAATATAACTAGAATTTATGAAAATTACGGATTTCACTTATAGTCGAGCAGTGAAACCGCTCTTAATATTATTACTGATTTGGAGCGTTACAACCTATCCTCCTTAAAATATTTCCATCCTCGGAAATACAAAACTAAGGTACTAGGCCAGAACTCCTACTACAAAACTATGTACATAACATAAAATAAAAGTACATATATATACATCTGAAAATCTCAAAACTCGAAATCTGGATAACGAGCTCTGATCTCGGCCTCTCTCTCCCAAGTGGCTTCCGACTCGTCGTGGCGACTCCAGCAAACTTTGACGAGCTCTATATCTCTATTTCTCAGCCAACGAACCTTCCGGTCCAGAACTGCTACCGGCTGCTCATCGTACATCAGGTTCTGCCCGACCTCTAGCTCATCAAAGTTTACCACATGGCTCGGATCGTACACATACTTTCTCAACATCGACACATGGAAGACGTTGTGTACACCCGAGAGCTCTGGGGTAACGCTAGACGGTAGGCTGTTACGCGAACTCGTTCGAGAATATCGAATGGCCCTATGAATCGGGGCTGCAACTTCCCCCTCTTCCCGAAACATACAACACCCTTCATTGGCGTGACATTCAGGAATACTTTGTCTCCCTGCTCGAACTCAAGCTCTCTTCTACGCTTGTTAGCGTAGGCTCTCTGTCGGCTCTGTGCCTCTCTCAGCTTTGCTCGGATCTCGGCAATCTTCTGTACCGTGTCCTCGATCAACTTGGGACCGAAAACCTGTTTCTCGCCAAATTCATCCCAATAAAGGGGTGAGTGGCACTTGCGACCGTATAAAGCTTCGAACTGTGCGATCTTGATCGACGAGTGATAGCTGTTGTTGTAGGCAAACTCCACAGTGGGTAACAACTCCTCTCACGAACCACCACGCTCTAGAACACAAGCTCGAATCATGTCCTCAAGCGTCTGAATGGTCCGTTCCGACTGTCCATCGGTCTGTGGGTGATAAGCAGAGCTAAACTTCAACTTCGTCCCCATGGACTCGTTCAGACTCTCCCAGAAATGGCCGGTAAACCTGGGATCTCGATCTAATATAATCTCGGCAGGAACGCCATGGAGTCGAACGATTTCCTGGAGGTACGTATCTGCTAGCTGCTCCATGGACATGTCCATTCTAACGGGCATAAAGTGGGCCGACTTCGTCAACCGATTCACTACAACCCATACCGCGTCGTGGTGCTTAGACAACATCGGTAATCCCGTGACAAAATCCATGGTCAGCTTCTCTCACATCCACTGCGGGATCTCTAAAGGCTGCAAGAGACCCGGTGGAACCTTGCGCTCGGCTTTCACCTGCTGGCAAATCAAGCACTTCTCTACAAACTCGGCGACGTCTCGCTTCATCCCCTTCAAATCAGTCACTTCTCTACAAACTCGAAGACGTCTCGCAATCCTCTTGGTGCTACCTGGGTGTGCCAAGTATGGAGCGCTATGCGCCTCTGTCAAGATCTTCTTCTTTAGGGCCTCGACGTTCGGCACAACGATCCTTCCCTTGTACTCCAAGGCACCATCCGTGCCTCGGTAAAAGCCCTCAACTCCTCCGGCATGAATCTTTGCCCCCATCGAGCGAATGAACTCGTCGAAGGCTTGATCCCTCCAGATCCTATCTCGTAACGTGGGCCACATTCTCATCGCTCGAATACCTCCCAGAACTGGCAACTTAGGAGGTGATTCGACCACTTCTAGTTGCATCCGAGCGAACTCATGAATCAACTGACGCTGCTGAGTGATCATACAGGTCAGTTCACCCTTTCCCTTCCGGCTGAGGGCGTCGGCAACTACGTTTGCCTTGCCCGGATGATAGTTAATGGTACAGTCATAATCCTTCACTAGCTCCAACCATCGCCGCTAGCGCATGTTGAGCTTCTTATGCGTGAAGATATACTGTAGACTCTTGTAGTCGGTGTAAATCTCGCAATGTCCCCCGTACAAATAGTGTCTCCAAATCTTCAGGGCGTGAACCACTACTGTCAACTCAAGGTCCTGAGTCAGGTAGTTCACCTCGTGCGGCTTTAGCTAGCGGGAAGCATAAGCCACAACCCTACCGTCTTGCATCAAAACATAACCTAGACCCTGTTTCGAGGCATCACTATAGATAGTGAAACCCAATCTGGGGTCCGGAATAGTCAACACGGGTGCCGTCGTAAGCCTAGCTTTGAGCTCCTGGAAGCTTGACTCACAATGACTATCCCACTCAAACTTCACCGACTTCCTTATCAAACGGGACAAGGGTAGGGTAATCTTCGAAATAGCCTGCCAAACCGAGAAAACTTCGAACCTCGGTGGCATTTCTCGGTGTCGACTAGTTCCGAACTGCTTCAATCTTGCTCGGGTCTACCTCAATCCCTCTGGATGTGACGATGTGGCCTAGAAAAGCCACTCGATTGAGCCAAAATTCTCACTTTGAGAACTTGGCGTATAACTTCTCACGTCGAAGAGTCTCCAAAACGGTCCTCAAGTGCTCCTCATGCTGCTCCGGGCTGCTGGAATATACCAAAATGTCATCAATGAAGACGATAACAAATTGGTCCAAGAATGAATGGAAGACACGGTTCATGAGATCCATGAATACCGCTGGCACATTGCTCAAGCCAAACGGCATCACCACGAACTCATAGTGACCGTATCTAGTTCTGAAAGCCGTCTTGGCCACATCGGCCTCTCTGATCTTCAGCTGATGGTAACTAGAGCGGACATCTATCCTGGAAAACGCGCTGGCTCCCCTCATCTGATCGAATAAATCCTGTATCTTGGGAAGCGGATACTTGTTCTTCACCGTCAACCAGTTCAAATCCCGGTAGTCGATGCACATTCTCATCGATCCGCCCTTCTTCTTGACAAACAGACAGGTGCTCCCCAAGGTGAAACGCTCGGTCCGATGAAACCGAGACTCAACAGCTTCTGAATTTGAGCCTTCAACTCCTTAAGCTCCTTAGGCGCCATGCGATACGGCGCTTTCGACACTGGTCCCGCTCCGGGGACTAAGTCGATTGTGAACTCCACCTGGCGGTTAGGTGGTCCTCCCGGAAGCTGATCGGGAAAAACATCCACAAACTCACGAACGACGGGTATATCTCCGGGTGACAATTCTCCGAAGACTCCCCAACGATGTTGAGAAGAAATCCCTGACAATCCTCTCTCTGCATGTACTTCGTCGCCTTCGCCATAAAAATAACGCACGGTAGTGTTCGAGACTTCGTCCCAAAGAACGTGATGCGATCTCTCTTTGATAAGTGCAGCGTCACCTCCCAGTCACGACAACGGATGTCTGCGCGGTATCTCGTCAACCAATCCATGCCAAGAATCAGGTCGAAGTCATTCATATCGATCACAAAGGCGTCTGCAACTAGAGTTCTGCCTCTGATATCGATGCTAAGGTTCTTGTCCAGGGAACTCGTAACTATCATCCTCCCCGATGCGAGGCTGATCTCGAGAGGGTCGACAACACTCACTCCCTGGGCCCCTAAGGCTGATAAACACTTGGTTGAGACGAACGAATGCGTCGCCCCGGTATCGAATAAAGCAAACACTGGAGTATTAAATAAGGATAGCATGCCAGACATGGTACCTAGCTGCTCTACGGTCTGCTCTTGGTCGAGTGCGTAAATATGCGCGGGTGCCCCACATTGCTGCTGCTGGCCTGGGGGTCTCTGAGCTGGCTATCTCGGTGCGAGTTGTCTCTGGGCAGGCTGTCTCTGTGTTGGCTGTCTCTGGGCTGGCTGGGGCTGTGGGCGGTCTGGGCAGTTCATGATCAAGTGTCTTGGGCGGCGGCAGTGGTAGCATATGTTCTGCCCGGCTAGGCACTCCCCACGGTGATGACGTCCGCAGGTAGCGGAAGCCGACAGATCCTGTCGGGCTGGCTGGCCCATCTGAGCTGGGCCTCTCTGTCCACGGTTCCTCTTATCCTTGCGATCCTCCCACTTCCTCTTGTTCTTGCCCTGAACTGGTTGAGCAGGCGGAATGGCAGCTGGCTGCTGTCTCTCGGCGTCCCTCTGGATATACTCCTCAATCTGCTGAGCTCGCTCAACAGTATAAGCGTAATCAAGGTAACCAGGACTGGCTACCAGCAGTTGGATGTTACTCCTCAACCCATCCAGGAACTGGGTCGCCCTCTTCTCCTCGGTGTCCACCAGATGTGGCGCGAAGACACTCTTACGAGCGAACTCCCGCTCGTACTCATCTACAGATCGATCGCCCTGTCAAAGGGCACTGAACTCCCTAGCCATCCTCTGACGTATATGATGAGGGTAAAACTTGTCCTCCAAGAGCGTCTTCAGCTGGGCCCATGACAGAGCCTCTCTCTCATCCTCGGTACGGAGGCTTCAATAACTGTCCCACCACTCGCCTGCGGCGCCCTCAATCTGTAACTCAGCACACGCAATATTATGCTCCTCCGCCATCCCCATCACTCGAAAGATCCTCTCCATCTTACGGGTCCACTCACCCACTGCTAGCGGGCCCTCCTCCCCATTGAAAACGGGTGGACTGTAAGTGCGAAAACGACCGACTGCGACGACCTGATCGGACTCTGCTGGAGCCTGGGGATCTCAGCGAGGCGGCATTCTAAAATTTTGGAAACTCTTGAATTGATTAGTATAGCCAATTAAGAAATAGTCATACTATACTCGGAAAAATAGAAGATAAATAATATTTGAAAACACCTAGCTTGGCTAGAGTTCCGATATACTTAAACTTTCTATGTTCTGGCTCATACTGGAGTTCTGACTTAGTCTAAAGTCCTTGGCTTAACTTTTCTAGAGTTTTGTCTAGAATTCTGTCTCTAGAGTTATCTGTCTTACAGGAGGATAGTCATCTAGGCCCCATACTTGACTGAATTAAGCACTTGCAAAACTTAAACCGAGTCAGGAGACTTACCTCGGAGTCGGTGCGGGATGAGCGTGGCGTGGTCATGCTTTTCTTTTCTAAACTTTAAAAGTATACAGAAACGCACTCTGCGCTCTGATACCAGCTTCTGTGGCACCCCGCCTTACTAGCTTTGAAAAATCAGAGTAAAATTTTTTACTTTTGTTTTCGAAAGGTGGTACGAGCTTGGTTTTTCGAAAACACTAACTTGTTGCGGGATGACACAGATAAGAACTTACTTATCTTGCTCACAGACATAAATAAAACATGCAACCAAACTATCCGCTACGGATATAAAATCACACATGCAATGTCTGAACTGTCTCGCACAGTCTAAAGTCTGCTAGCGGAAGCATCCGAAATACAGAAATACATAAAGTACATGCATACATATCTGAATGGGGCATGGTTAGGGATTGGTCTTGGGTGGTTTTGTCCGACTTATGGTGGTCTTCTAGGTGGTATTGAGAGCACAATGGGGGACAAAGGGAATCTGGTCAGGTCTGGCACGATAGTGGGCGGACAAAGGCTCCATAAGCCATTAAAACATTCATTAGCCCATCATGCACCACCATTACAATAATCCCCATGATTGTTGACTTTACTAATCACTTTCTTAGGGCTAATTAACCTGAATTGTACCCTCATTAATCCCTTAATGTTCGCATGTTATTGGGCTGAAAAGAAGTGGGCCAAAACTTTGCATTTGGGTTCAAGAAGGTGGGCTTGTCATGCTGCCAGAGCTGGGCTTGGGCGTTGGGCTGGCACGGACTGGCTGCACGCGGCCCTGGACTGGCGCGGGGTCTGTGCGGGCTGCGCGTGGAAAATGGACTTGGAGTGAATTTCTAAGGCTTTTAAGGCTTAAATGAGGTTCTCAACACTTAGAAAAATTTAGCAATGCATAGCCATGACTTGGATGGACCTTGAGGTTGGTGGACACGCGCTTGGGCGCGGCATGAGGCGCGGGCGCGAGGCTTGGCACGAGCGGGCTCGGGTGAGTGTTAGGCTCGACAATGAGGGTCACAGACTTGAGCTTTATACATTCCAACACTTAGAAAATTATTCTAAGTATCAAACTACCAATTCTCGGTTATACTCGGGATCAACTAGAAAAATGACTCGGAACAAAACTAGGGTTCGAAGCTGAATATTCTAAAGTCGATTAGATATAAATTACCAACCCAAATTAATGGATTGATCTTGATCTTGACTTGACATAGAAATTTCCAAAGAATGATCTACCAAACTTAACAAATAATTGAGCATTTAGCATATAAAATATAACTCGAGAATTTCTGAAAATTACGGATATCACTTATAGTCGAGCAGTGAAACCGTTCTTAATATTATTACAGATTCAGGGCGTTACATAATATACTACTACTCCCTACACTGAATGTCCCGTATAATTGCAAATAAATTTACACGATTTTGTAATTTTGCTAAAGTTTATTATTGAACTGTAAGATTGCAAATAAATATTTGTGTGGTCGTGCTTCATGTAATTTCCTCAATAAAATAAAATAAACAAATTGCAGGAGTTAATGATCTATTATGACTAGTTATATATTTTATTTATGTTTTTACATGTCCTTATATTTCCTTCTATTTTGTATCATATTGTTTATATTATTACCTTTATCTTTACTTAAATACGTGTTTTTTGAATCGACAGTTTCACACGTCAGTTCCCTACAGAAGTTATTGCATCTTTTTCTTCCTCTCTCTCATTTGCCTTCTCATCCATTTTTTTTTTCTCTCCCTTATCTTTCATTTTCTTCAAGAAAATCGCCGTCAGCCATGACTCGTCCGCCGGATAGGCGCCAGATTCGACGATCCTTTGCCACATCGTCATCGTGACTGAGCCACCGACCCCAACCGCTTGAAGTTGTCGGCCATGCACTCGGTCCGTCATTCGAGGACATCCCATCACGCGCCTCACCTCCAGCACAGATGTGCGACCAGCCGCTGGTCCCCGACGACATACGCGGCCTACGACCCAGGCCCAGGACCGGACCACCGTTCAACGCGCATCTGACCGTCGCTGTCGCCCGAAGGCCCTATGTAAATTGGTCGGCCGCACAGAGCACCCGTCGAGGCTCTGGTTAGTTTTCAGTAATTTTTTTTTTTATATTTGTAGTAACATAATTTTTCCCATAATCGACCAACTTCTTCTATTTCTCTTCAACGGGGGCCGGTATTAATCACCAACTGAAAAACCCTCAAAATCAATGTTTTTCCTTTAAATCTATGGTTTTCTTATTATCCTCCTCTCGTTTTTCATTACTCAATATCGCATCTACTCAGGTTATGCTTAAGAGGAATTGTGATTCTATAAAAAAATTATGTTCGTGTTGGATGATGATGAGAATAGTATGTCTGTAAGAAATGTAATTGTTAATTTGCCTATCTGGACGGGAAAAAATTTCGATTTTAAGCAGTGGTGTAGTTTATGTCCTGTGGTTGTAGGCAGAAGTTAAGCGAAGCAGAATTATTTATGTGGATTTTATACCTTTTCTTGGTGAAAGTTTTTTCATTGAAAAAAATAAATAAAATGTGACTGCTGTTGATATTTGTGGTTTATGGTCTTTGTATGATGGCTGTGCTGTAACCATAATAATACCTAGGATGTTTTAGTGTAATTGTCTATTCTTTGTACTCAGCTACTCATATTTTTCCAACAGAAACATTTAATTTGATGAAAAAAAAATTTGCCAAATCCTCACATTAATCCATGATGTACATGGACTACTCTGTTTCTGTATTACATTATTCTTGCTAATTGATTTAATTTTCCAGATTCTCTATCCAATTCCTTTTTCCTCGTTCAATTCAGGTAAGTCCAGCCATGGAACCCGAAATAATTCCACCGAAAAAGCCCATTTTCGACCCTCTGAAGGCCCATGAAATCACAGAAGGCAAACAGGCCGAGTTCCGGAAGGTTCCGGTCCCATCCCACCGCCTCAAACCCCTCAAGGACGCCTGGGATATAATCTACGACAAAGTCTACAATGTCATGAATGTGGACATCCGCATGAATCTGAAAGCCCGTCGTGTAGAGCTGAAAAACAAGCGCGAAACTCCCGATATCGGCCACCTTCAGAGATGCGCGGATTTCGTCCATGCCTTTGTTCTCGGTTTTGATGTACCTGACGCGAAGCTTATGCTGAGTTACGATGAGTTGTACATTGACTCTTTTGAGATAAGAGATGTGAAGAGGCTAAGTGGTGAGCACCTGTCGCGTGCGGTGGGCAGGCTTTCGGGAAAATCGGGTAAGACAAAGTTTGCAATCGAGAATGCCACTAAGACTCGGATTGTGATTGCTGATAAGCGGATTCATGTGATGGGACCTTTTGCCCGTATTAAGATTGCGAGGAGTTGTCTTTGTAGTCTGATCATGGGTTCGCCTGCAGCTAGGGTTTACTCCAAGCTGCGTCTTGTTGCCTCAAGGCTCGACAGCATGGCAT